TAAACTAATTTTTAATTTTTCACCAAAAATTGCCAAGTGCCATATAAGTACGTAAGTATCACTATTCTTCCTTTCAGAAGCAAAACCAGAAAGGTGAACACAGATGTTTGAGGCCAGCAAGCCACCAACAGCACATGGAGAAAATTCAGGGCCCCGGGGGCACAAGTGCACCGCCCTGTGCCTTAGATATAGCACCGGAACCTTCAGCCTGGGAGCACGGGAGCGGACGGACACGTTGCTATAAGCTAAATGGGCATCTGAACTCACAGTACTTGTGAGACTGTTCATATGACTTTTTACCTCACTATATACCTTGACAGATAGGTAGCTTATCCCTCCATGAAAATAGGCCTGGTCCACTTTGTGCTTACCTCAAGGCAGGAGCAGGGACATGGGCACTTACTGCAAGGGAACTCACATGCTCTGAATTTACATCCCGGCTTACCCCAGAGTCCCTCCAGACATGCCACGCTGCTGGGCAGTGTTCCAGACACCGCAGTGTTAGGATACAAAGGAGTTTTGTACTCGGGTACCAAAACTGCAGTCTAATTACACAAACACACATGTCCACATGCACACTAACAACAGTACTTTTAATAGCTGGCAGATGTTATTGCTGAGCCACTCTCCATCATCTTTGAAAGGTCATGGAGAACAGGAGAGGTGCCTGAGGACTGAAGGAAAGCCAGTGTCACTCCAGTCTTCAGAAAGGGCAAGAAGGAGGACCCAGGGAACTACAGGCAAGTCAGCCTCACCTCCATCCTTGGAAAAGTGATGGAACAGCTCTTTCCAGATGTCATCTCTAAGCAGCTGGAGGAAAAGAAGGTTATCAGGAATAGTGAACATGGATTCTCCAAGGGGAAGTCATGCTTGACCAATCTGATAGCCGCCTATGGTGGCATGACTGGCTGGGTAGGTGAGGGGAAAGCAGTGGATGTTGTCTGCCTTGAGTTCAGCAAGGCTTTTGACACTGTCTCCCAAAACATCCTCATAGGTGAGCTCAGGAGGTGTGGGCCAGATGAGTGGACAGTGAGGCGGATTGAGAACTGGCTGAATGGCAGAGCTCAGTGGTGCAGAGTCTAGCTGGAGGCCTGTAGCTAGTAGTGTTCCCCATGGGTCAGTTCTGGGTCTGGTCTTGTTTAGCCTATTCATCAACAACCTGGATGAGGGGACAGAGTGTACCCTCAGCAAGTTTGCTGATGATACAAAACTGGGAGGAGTGGCTGATACTCACACTGCCATTCAGCGAGACCTGGACAGGCTGGAGAGTTGGGCGGAGCAGAACCTGATGGAAGTTCAACAAAGGCAAGCGTAGAGTCCTGCACCTAGGGAGGAATAACCTCATGCACCAGTACAGGCTGGGGGTTGACCTGCTGGAGAGCAGCCCAGTGGAGGAGGACCTGGGAGTCCTGGTGAACAACATGTTGCCCATGAGCCAGCAATGTGCCCTCGTGGCCAAGAAGGCCAATGGTACCTTGGGGTGCATTAGGAAGAGTGTAGGCAGCAGGTCAAGGGAGGTTCTCCTCCCCCTCTACTCTGCCCTGGTGAGGCCACATCTGGAGTGCTGTGTCCGGTTCTGGGCTCCCCAGTTCAAGAAGGACAAGGAACTGCTGGAGAGAGTCCAGTGGAGGGCAACAAGGATGATGAGGGGACCGGAGCATCTCCCTTATGAGGAACGGCTGAGGAAACCAGGTCTGTTCAGCCTGGAGGAGAGGGGAATCTCATCAATGCTTATAAATACCTTAAAGGTCGGTGTCAAGAGGATGGGGCCAGACTCTTTTCAGTGATGCCCAGCAACAGGTTAAGGGGCAACGGGCACAAACTGAAACTGAGGAAGTTTCTTCTTAATACGAGGAAAAACTTCTGTACTTTGCAGGTGGCAGAGCACTGGAACAGGGTGCCCAGAGAGGCTGGGGGGGCTCCTCCTCTGGAGAG